TCACATCCTGCTTTAGGCCCACTGCTGCCTTTTCCTCCTGCTTTAGCACATCTTATTGAAATGTAACATTCAGAGGATGCATATCCACACTGACGCATTCTGGGCTGGGACTGTACTCTGCTCAGTCCCTGGGAGGCCTGAAGCCCTTGGGCCCGATCCCCAGCACCACACACGCACGCACACACAAATGATGGATTCTGACAGTGCCAATATACCTGTGTAAACCAACATCCAAGTTTAAGAAACAAACCAAGTGTGATGGCACACACCTGTAGGATGGATGAGCCTGGGACTTAGAAGCCAGCCTGGGAAACACAGCAAGATTCCAACTCTAAAAAACAAAACAAGGGCCAGGGATACAGCTCAGCAGCACAGTGGCTGCCTGGGAAGCACAAGGTCGTGAGTTTAATTCCTGGTACCAAAAAAAAAAAAAAATCCTTTTCAGGTGTTATAAAAACAAAATACATGGGGTTGGGGATTTAGCTTAGCAGGCAAGCACGAGGTCGTGAGTTCAATTCCCAGTACCGATAAAACACACACACACACACACACACATCACCCACCTCCCAGAACCTTCCTCAGGCCTCTAGGAATCTAGTACTGCTAATACCTCGTCTTTTTCACCCTACCGCACTTTAGATGAATGGAACCATACTCTATGTGCTCTTTTCCATCTGGTTCCTTCCTTTTGCTCAGCATTCCATATATGTGATTCATGCATGCTTTACCACGTGACTGTCAACTGTTCATTCCCTCTACGACAGTGTTCTGTTGTCTGTACTCACCCCAAAATAGGTGTCGTTTCTACTGCTGACGGACACTGGTGATTTTCAGTGTTTGCTGCTAAGAACAGTCTAGAACATGCCTTTGCATTGCAGCATTGTGCCTGCCACAAAACTTTAAAATGTCAGACACTACTGACTTGAGCCTCAAATCATGGTAAGGCCAGTCTGTCCACTTCTCCAGTTCACCCTTTTGTTCTTCAAACACTCTCCTGCTGTCTAGAGAGCACCAGAGTCCTTAAGGAGTCAGACTTCCCAGGTCTGATGCATGGTTCTCTGGCATGTCCTTGCCATGTGACACTCTCTCTGTGGATTAGTATTCTTCCCAGTAAAAGGGAATGACAGCAGCACCCATAACTTCCCTCAGCTGAGAGTCAGTAAGGCAGAGGGTGCACACCACGAACATGCAGTCCACGTCACTAGGTACGATCACTGGCAAAGGAAATTTTGTTTCTTAACTCTCCCAAGGTACCCAGCTCTGCGTGACCCTGCCAGGATGTCCATAAGCAAGGCCCCCAGAGGAGGACACAACTAAGAGCTCACCTCTACCTGGAGCAGGGTTGCACCAACAAGCCACACACACACACACACACACACACACACACACACACACACACACAGCGCACTCTGTTCCTTTCTCTCCAGCACCCAAATGCATAGCTTGGCTGCTGTAGCTATTGTCCTTGTATCCACAGGACACTGGGTATCACTCAAAATGTGACCTAAACCAGGGTTATTGTTGTAGGGTCATCATTAATGGCGTCAGCAGCTTGGTAACAATGTGCTGGGGCACTAACAGTACCCAGATGTCACTGCCTGGAGAACAAAAATGTTGAAATGTCTCCACAAAATGACACTGCAGAGGAGCATTTTATTCACTTTTTGTTTGTTTGTTTGTTGTTTTTCTTAGGTGACCAAAAAAAAAAAAACAGAAATAGCTTCTTGAAGCTTACAGTGCAGAGACCCAAGAGCAAGAGACTAGGGCCTCACATTCCTGGTTGCTATGGTAACAGGATTTCACAGCAGGAGCTCATTTTCAGACAGTGACCTGCAGGAGGACATCTCCTAAATAAACTTAGTTAACGGTGTGCCAGTACAAGGGGGTGATTAGTTTTGCTTACCAAAAAAGACATTTAAAAGTGCCTTTCTGGACAGAAATGACCCAGCGACCCTTGCAAGGCTTTCTCTTTATTCCACAATTCTTAAAGCTGGGCTGAAAAATGGCTTGTTTCCAAGGCCTCTGGGGCAAGTGGATGTCACAGCCTTCCTAGTCACTTGTCCCATCATTAACCATCTGTCTATGACAGAGACCTTTACTCAAGTCCAGTGGTTGCCCCAAGCAACCAATAAGCCAAGTCACCAGCACGTCCTGTACATCTGGGCCACCAGGTGCTGAGGGAAAGATGTAAAACATACTTGTTTCTTGAACAAATAGCAAATCACAGTATGAACCTAAAAACATCCTTGAGAAGCAGACTCAGGTTCCAACCTCAGCTTTGCCCACCTGCGAGCTACGTGCACGAGGCAGCTTCCTGGTCCTCTCTCAAGTTTGCATCCTCACGGGTGGAATGAGAACAATAATCCCAACACCTATCTTTCCAGGTATTATAAGCCAATACAAAACACGGGAGTGCCTGGACCCATCAGCTCAGTGCCCAGAGCGGGACACAGAATAACCCACTCAATAAACAGCAGCTCAATTAAGAGCTGGAAAAGCATGTCCCATAATCCTGGTATGGGAAGCTAACAGCAGAAAGCAACGTATTATGTTGTGCAGCCTGCAACCAATCCGCCAATGAGCCTGGCAGGAGTAGATGGACTGCAATCTGGAAGAGTGGAACAGTCTTAGAGGGAGAGGGAATTTGAACTGGACTCAAGGATGATGCGATGGGAGGGGGTGTTCTCAGAAGTCTGGGGTGTAAAAGTATCAGGTACCTACACGGTGCCCAGTCCTGGGGAATCAGGGAGACAGGAAACAGGTTTGTGGCAAACATCAGGAGTCAGGGATAGAAAGGGCTGAAAATTACCAGACAGCTATAGGACAGTGGGGGTTCAAAGTCACTGAGCCAGGAAATGGGTCCTGATGTAATGAGCGTAGGGCCCAGTTTTGCTGGGAAACAGCACCTGAGGCAGTAGGCCAGTGCAGAGCCAAGCAGGCCATCAGGACAGGGAGTCAGAAAGTACAGGACTGGAACCTGGTGTGAGGGAAGCTATGTGACCAACAGCTTCACAAGGGAACAAATTCAGAGCCAAAAAGACTTCTCACGGGAGGGGTTCTGTGACAAGGTAAAGGGGACTGCCATTCAGAAGTGACACGGCAGACACATTGCTGCATGGGGCTGGCAGCAGAGAAACCTGCTAAGAAACACTGTTCTGTAGCCTAAGCTGTTCCAGGCCCAGGAGTCACTTCAGAGACACTTCAGAGACAAACACGCCCACCTGAGTGACAGTCACAGGAGGGCCTGCTGCCCTGAAGTGAGAGAAAGCTGCCTGGGAAGAGGAACCCAGACATGGACATGCTGAGTCTGTGGTGACCTGTGTCGCCCAGGAGAGCGTGACAGACAGGACAAGGCTAGACACACCAGACGGGTGTTCCCAGAGGACTTGGGGAGAGTCTCATGAGAAACAAACCTATGGCCTAGAAAACCAGTCCCAGCAAACAGGGACAGCTCAGAAAAAGAGGAGGAGGAATGATCGAGAAGGGAGAACAAAGCCAGGAGAGTGGCTATGCTCAGAAAATGACAGCAAGGACTCCTAGGAGACAGGGCACCCAGAGGTGGGCTTCCCGGGGCCCGGAGGATGAAGGGCCCACAGAACAGCAGTGTCTGGAAACTCCAGACTCCCAGCTAGGCAACTTCAGCAAAGTGGCAGGGATCGGGCTTCGGAGGACTAAGGGGAGGACTAGGGGGAGGACTAGGGGAGGAGGAGGGAAGGAGGGAGGAGATACAGAGGTGTCAGGAAAATGTGCAGTGAGTGAAAGAAGGAAGCCAATCTTATGGCTCAGATGCAAGTCTCTCTCTGTCTCTCTCTCCTCTCTCTCTCTCTCCTTTTCCTTCCTTCCTTCCTCAGATGGGAGGCCAAATGGATGTCATAGGTAGGGAGTGGGAGATTCCTGGAGACCGGTGAGGGGGCTGCAGAACTGGCCCTGTCAGTGCTCTCTGACCAGGACCAGGGCCACCCCTTCTCACCTTGCTGGCCCAGACTGCAGGAAGGATCAAAGGTTCCTTGCTGCACAGGTGGAGGTGACACAAATCATTCACCCAGATCCCCCTTGCTCTGATCCTACTGGGACAGGTCTCCACCTTTAGCTTCACACCTCTTGGCTGGGGCCACCGCTGTATGACTGACAGCTTACTCTGTTCCTTCAGAGCCAGGCACGGGCTAGAATCACAGAACTCTCAGCGCTGCCCTCTGTAGCTTCCACACCGCTGGAGGCCCAGGTCGTACCCCGAGCGCAGAGAGGGACCATAGACGGTCTGCAGCCTATCCCCAAATTCTGCCGGACCGCTGCAAAGGAGCGGGAAACAATCCCAGGGCGAGGCTGTCAGGCCAAAAGTGGTGGGCAGGGCGCACTGGGGCCCGGTCTCCGAGCTCCCACACCCCGGCTGCCAACGTGCCATCGAGACTCCGCTCCTACCCCCTACCCAAGGGGAAGGGACAGTGCTGGATCCCCCGCCACGGCCAGGCCACGCGCACTGAGCGGCCGCCACGACCCCGAGCCCGCCACCCCCACCCGCGCACGTGCGCGCCGGCCGGGCGCTGGGCAAACGCGGCACTTGTTGACTCGCTCGCCCGCGCGCTCACCCCAGCGCCGCCTGCTGTCGGCGGCCGCTGCGCCGCCCGCCCCTCCCCCACCGGCCGCCCCCCGCCGCGGGCCACCGGGGCGCCGCGGGGAGTCCCCTCCAAGCTGCCGGCCCCGCGCAGAGGCCGGGCGTGCGGAGGGCTGGAATCAGGCGCAGGCGCGGGCAGCTCTGGGGCAGCCCCGGGATCGGGGCTCGGCCGTGGTCGGGGAGAGCAATTCGGCGCCAGGCCCTGCCCGCGCCCCGCAGCTCCCCGGGGCTCAGCCCCCGGCCCGGGCGCGCCCAGCTCCCGGATCCCAGGCGCTGCTCTGGGGCTGCTCTGCGCACCTCTTCCGGCCCCGCCGCAGAGTCAGACGCACTCTCAGGCCCTCAGAGCCTAGACCCCGAAAAGGGGCGACCCCACTTTAGCCACACTTACCGGGGGTCCGGCCCTGCCGCCCGCGCGCGCTCCCTGGCTGCCCTCTGGTGGCGGCCGCGGGTACCCGCCGCGCCCCGCCCCGCCGCGCCCCGCCCCGACCCGACCGGGACCTGTTGCTGCGGGCTGGAGAACCCTGGCCAGAGGTCACATAGAGGTGACTGTCTGTCTAGATGGCGCTCCTCGCCTCCTAATGGGAATCAGGGCTCTTTGTTCCTGGATAGCAAACAGCACTGGCTTTTTATAAGCAGCTGCAAGTCTCTAATCCCAAACTTAAAACCTGATTTGTAGAAATGACCCAGGAAAAGAAGGCAGGCATGCTTTCTGGGGCCTGGAACAATACCTGGCACTAGCTGGAGCACAACATATATTTGTTGAGTGAATGATGCTCCATGGACAAGGGACGAACTCAGACACTGCTACCGTCCAGAGAGGAAGTAACCATAACAAACCAAAGCTCTCCTCTGCTTTGTCTTGGCATTACCAATTCAAAACTTACCGGCTATTTCCACATTTTTGTTTTGTTTTCTTTGAGACAAGGGCTCCCTTTGTGGTGAAGGTAGTCTGGAACTCACAGCCATCCTCTTGTCTCGGCCTCCCAAGTGATAGGATTACAAGGTGTGTCCCACCATGTCCAACTCCCATATATTTTTGATGAAATAATTTCCTGGGATGGCCCTGGAAATCAATAACTGAGGGAAAACTAAATTTGGAAGTGCTGATTTGCCAGATTCATGCTGCAGCCCCCTTGGTACCTGTCAATGATACAGAGGAATGTAACTCCTGACCTACTGTGTCCGGTAGGAGTTTGTGTTCTCTGAAGTCAAAGAATGATTTTTAGGAACAACAGAGCTTAAGAGCAGAATGTATTTATTGAGAGAAAGAAAGCTTCTGTCTGAGAGAGAGACAAAAGGGTCTCTTTGTCTTGAGAGAGTTGCCAGGGACTCTTGTCTTTTCAGGGGCTTCTATAAAGTAAAATCATGGGGTGAGACAGGTTCAAGGTGGGGAAAACTGGGAACTCACAAGGCAGATGGGCATAAAGTGGGACAGAACTATGGTTAGCCAATAAGATTAATAGTTCAGGTAAAACTGATTAAATTGGGGACAAATGGGAAAGCAAGTCATGTAGAAAGTGGGCGTTCTTAGAGAGCAGTGACTCTTTCCTAGAAAGATGGGATGGTGACTCCTGACATCCTCAGGGTGTTAGGGAGCTATTTAGAATATCAGTCTTTAGGATATAGATGTATTTGCTTGATCTTTTGTCTTGAGACCTGGCCCACAGCAGGAGGTGTCTTGTCTCCTCTATAGTTGCAATGTATCTGGGCTTCTGCACTGGCTCCTTTGAGGCCCTAGCCCTGTCTGGCTGCCTATAATATTTCTAACTAACCAGCTGCCTGTAACATCATGAGACTATGATCTGAGTTCTCCATCTTGAGCAAGGGACTGAATCTGCAAGCTAATACTGGCCGCTAAACTTTCTGCATTGCAGAAACATTGCATGCCAGCTCCCCTTTAGCCACGTGGCATTGCATTTTTTACCTCATTTGCTATTACTTAATTTAAATTTAAACGGACAGTGAGGCCAACAGCTGCATATCAGACATTGCAACCTAAGCTGCTGTGACTCTCTGTGCGAAGGGGAGATCATCACAGTCCTTTGGTGAGGATGGATGAGATCACGTCAGGGAAGCCCTCTGTCCAAAGCCTGGTGCACTGTAAGAGCTCAATGGCAGGGGCTGGGGATGCAGCTCAGGAATTTGCCTTCTGTGCTAGAGGCCCTGGGTTTTCAGTAGTAGAAACTATAAATGTCATCATCACTACCTCCGTCACCTCACAAACCCCCAAATCCCAAGGCTTCAGGGTCCACCCAGTGACCCACCACCTCCCATCTAGGAGAAGCTTGCACCACTGCACAGCTCTAGGACAGCACTCACTGTCTTGGGGTGAGGTGAGGTGGGGTCCCATCTTCTCTTTGAGCCAGCTGCCAACCACATACGTCCTGATCAGAGGTGGCCTCCAGATAGCACCTCGCCTAGCCCTATGCATAGTGCAAAACTGATCCTTTCATTCCTGCACTAGTAAAGCTTTCCGGGGACACTTGTTGCACCTCTGCTGTGTGCTGCAGCTGGACTGAAGACTCTTGCATGGTTCACATAACCCTTGTTCTCCCACTCTCCTGCCCAGGGCACCCAGCCCCAAGATGGTAACAAAACCACCTTTGTCCGGCTGTGCCTTGGGGGCATCTTCTGTCTGAAAGCAGCAGTAGCCTCTCAGCTTGCTCGGGAGCCAGTTCCTTTTTTTCTGCCCCAGTGTGAGATGAGCTGTCCTCTCTCTGGGGCTCTTGCGTGCTCACTGCTGAAAGGGCACACAATGGTCAGCATGTGTACTCCCGTGCATGCCACCCTGCACAGCCTTGTGCTCCAAATACCTATAGAAAGGCTAATGATAAGTTCCTTGTTTTTTTTTTTTTTTTTTTTTTTTGTCTTTTTTTCCTTTTTATCGGTACCGGGGATCGAACTCACAACTGCCTGCTTGCAAGGCAGGCACTTATGCCGCTGAGCTAAATCCCCAGCCCTGATAAGTTCCTTTTATTCTTGCCAACTCCTTTGCCATAGCTCAGAAAAGAGCACTTCTCTGTATCTACTCCAAAAAATTGAAAATGACCTCTTTTTGTTCCTTGGTCTGAGCATACTATCTTTTTTTTCCTTCAGATGGATTACAGGTGAGGTTGAAGATGTAGCTCAGTGATAGACTATTTCCAGTCTGCACCCTTAAATTCTGAGGCTCTTTTAAGAAACAGAGAGCAAGCCTAGCATCATGGTGCACACCTGTGACCCCAGCACTGGGGAGATTGAGACGTGAGAATTGTTGCAAGTTCAAGGCCAGCCTGCAGGGCATAGTGAGTTCAAGCCCAGACTGAACTACAGAGCAAGATCCTGTCTCAAAAAACAAAACAAAACAAAAAGCAGGCATTCAGGCACACCCATAATCCCAGCACTCTTTTTTTTTTTTTTTTTTTTTTTTTTGTCTTTTTCCTTTTTATCGGTACCGGGGATCGAACTCAAGACTGCCTGCTTGCAAGGCAGGTGCTTATGCCGCTGAGCTAAACCTCCAGCCCCAATCCCAGCACTCTTAAGAGACTGAGGTAGGAGGACTGCAAATTCGAGTTCAGCCTAGGCAGTCTGGGGGCATAGTGAGACTCCTTTAATAAATAAAAAAGGGCTGGGGATGTGTCTCAGTGTGAAAGCTGAGAATTCAATCCTCAGTACCAAGAGAGAGAAAACAGTCTGTATGTGTGTGTGCGTGCATGTGTGCATGCAAATGTGTGCATGTAAAACTGATTCTATAAGACACAGACAAATAGATATTGGAATCATAGATTACTCCCCCAGGTGTGTCCTCTTGTTAACTGAAGACTTTATGAATGTGAATGAATAATGCATGCTCATTATAAAGTTTTATGTATTTCCAAGTGCCGCTGATTTATGTGATGCATAATCTGTGCCGTAGATATTCATGCCTTAGGTTGTAGATGTACTCCTGGTGGGCCCAAATACACACTGCTGGAAATTAGTGATTATATCTCAAACTCTCCTCTCTTGAGGATCACTTGACCTCCTTTTGGTTCAATAAACCAGAGCTCCTTCTACGTTTCGTATGTTCCACCACATACGACAACACAACAGTGAAAGGGGAAAATCAGCAATCTGCTTTTCATATTTCAAAAAGTCAGATGAAGTCATGTATCTATACACTTTTAGCACCGGGTTTCTTTATTTGGGGCTGGAATGGTTTCGTCACCGGGACGTAATGCTAGGTATTAGCCTGTACTGATGAGATGCCTGCCCAGAATTGCCCATTCATCCATCCAGCACCTTTTCCAAAGCATTGTTTATGAACCAGTCACTGTGCTGGGCATGGAGGACAGAGAAGAGGGGACAGCACTTATGCCTAAGGATTCAGGCTTGGTAAGTGGATGGTGAAAATAAGCAGACAGAGCTTTATAAAAATCGCTACAAAATGCTTCAAAATTGCTGTAACATTTACTCTAGGACCCAGGCAACTCCAATTTACACAGCACAAAGAAGATGCAGGCCGTATAGACAGAAATAACCCACTTTGGGATTGTTTGCATTGAGAGTATCCTAAAGGCATATTTAAGACCTCAGTTTCTATTCTGTGAGAGCAAGCCAGGTGGAAGAGCAACTCAGAGAAAAACCAGGAGCCCCTTTTGTCCACTAATGGAATTAGGCTCAGACTTAGCCGATCTGGGCTAGTGAGTTCAGGGCCAGCCTGAACTGCATAGAGAGACTCTGTCTATAAAAATAAAAAAACAAGCAAAAAACCTGACGCCCACCACTTTAAGGAGGAGAGGTTTATTTGGTTCCCAAGGTTTAAATCCATACTCTACTTGCTCCAAGGCAGAACAGCATGGCCAGCCTGAACTGCATAGCGAAACTCTGTCTCAAAAAGACAAAAAAAAAAAAAAAAAAAAAAGTTCAAAGTCTCCTCTGAAACATGAGACAAACTTTTATTGGTGAATCTCTGTAATTTCAAAAAAGAAATTAAATACTGTGAACACATTGAAAAGGAAATTAAAATGTAAAATAAAGCATGCCAGGGATACCCACCAAGACCAGACATGCCCATGTCTGGACAAGCCTGATAACAGAACATTTCTTTCTTTGTATAAGCTTTGTATACTGATGGCCTTAAAATGTAATTTACAATGTTCCTTTATGTAACCTCTGCCTTTACTGTCTTTGTATAGCTGATAGCCTTGCAGTATAACTTAAAATATTACAGGACATTTCTTCCTTTGCATAACCCACGCTTTGTATAACTAATGATTGTATATGTGACCTGAAGTGTTTAAACTCCCTCAGCATCCCGTGATGTCACCTGACCCTCTAATCATAATGCACTAAATCTACCTCTGTACTTCCCCTTGATCCCCCCATAAAAGCCCTGAAACCCTGCTGGTGGGGCTCTGTCTCGGGGAGAGATCCCAGTCAAGCCTGCCAGTGTATTAAACTGCCTCCTAAACCTCCTTAATGTTCCTTCCCATGTTCTACCCA